AGTCGTTACGGGGTGTAAGCGACTGGATCCCGGATGCCCACCCCGCGGGGTCAAACTGGCGAGCACACCGCAGGATTGTGGTGATCTTTTCTTCTCTTGCGAGCTGACCGCCGTCTTGGTCGGGTTCTGCTGACATTTGTGCAACTGACAGGATGTGTCTCATGAGTTTAGCCGGGCAGGACACGAAGTTGTTCACCTCTGCAATCATCAGGATGGCGTCTATGTCAAATCCGTCCTCGATGCCGTAGATGGAGGTTTCCAGCGAGCCTGTTGATGAAGCTGTCGATCCAATGATATCCAAACTGTACTTTGAGTCACTTATTCGGATCTTATGCCATGGGGACGAGTCAGCTTACATCAAGAACTCCGATATCAACCACCGACGAACAAAGAGACCCGCAAAGGAATCAGTGGACTCCTTCCCTGCGTGGCACTTGATGTACCGGATCAGCGACTTAGCGCCCTCCAAATGAATCCTCCACGTATTCTTCCCAGATTGGATCCATTCAAAGTAGATGAGCAGCATGACGACCGCCAGCATGATATTCACATCAAACCGCCCAATGTTGCCTAGGGCAGCTGTCAGTAATTCAAGCGCTTTACCCTTGGACGACAGTGCGTCTCGAAGGACAGACGTCTGCGACGGCGATATGTTATATAGGTGGTGTGCCGACGTAGCAACGATAACCTGCAACAGAACAGGATACTCGCGCGAGTATCTCAGCAACTGCCGCACGGGGTTCTGGTCCGGAACATCATATATCACCAGCTCCTTGACGAAATTCGACCCAAAGTGCGAGAGATACCGCCGGGTACTCGGGCTGAGATCTTGGAATAGCGGATCAATGAGGGGAAAGGCCACTCTCTGCTGGTAGAAGTCGTCGTGAAGAAAGCCATTCGAAGTAGACGATATCACTCCAGGCCCTTGGCCGGCCACCCTAGGAGAACCATCCACCTGGTTTCGAACAGTGGGGAACGTCTTCCCCATCATTTTGCCTCTACTCGCAATACCCTGATTCCACAAGATCAGCTTGCCATAGCCGAGGCATTCCGTCCCCGTCGTAAGACATTTCTGGCACTTTGGGACAGCACGGTCGCACTTGACACGACGACGGCGGCAAGAGTGACAGGCCCTGTCTGGCATCCCTGGTCCTGTTGGCAGCGTGTAGGCTGCTTATTGCGGAATCTACTACAAATTTTTCCCACGTTGCCGTTGGTAGATCAGATCATATCGATCCGGATTAATCATCAGCCCGTGCCCCACCGACACATGGGGCTATAGGCTTGGCGAGACTTTTAGTTTTTGGGTCCACTTTTAAAACAGGGGAGCCAATGAGTGGTGGAATGTTGGTGGAGATCGATGAGAAATGCCCTGGAATAATCTACCGAGCACGTCTTTTTCTATATAGACTACGGAGTGTATCGAAATCGAAATCGTTGTTTGGGATACACAACGAACGACAATGCATACGATACCGGAGAATTGTAGGGTACTCATTATAAGATAAGATAATCGGCAATCATATATACTAATCATTAACTATAGATATCCCGCTTTCTACTGATGGTCTGTCTGATTTATATATAGAATAATCTTGTTGCTATTCTGTAATGATACGAAGACGAACTAATAGACGATCAAAGATTTCAGTGATCATCTCATAGTTTTCAAAAATAACCGATCGAATGGTATTAAATAATATCCGGATATCCTCTATTGGGAGCAATCCTATACTAAACCCTTGGGTAACCATTTCACAATTATTGATAACCATCCACAACCACCATTATCCAGTATAGCACTGTCAAAACTCACTCTCTTAATTTAGCCCCTATGGTTTATAACTAGCATATTGTCACCCTGTATATATTCTCCAGGGTCTGCTGTTTTTCCGTCCGCCGATGCGATTCTCCGCTTAGGATGACATGCGATGGTGAGGTGAGAAGCTCTAGAGGTAGATGGTAGTAGATTATCTAAGCTGTGGGACACCTTAGTGTATTTCAGGAAAACAGACTTATATTCAAAATAGTCGCGTGGTCATCCTGCACTCGGAAAACGATGCTCAATGGAAACCGTAGATCCGAGTATCAAGGCAACATCATCCCTCCTCAGTCACAACACCAATAACAGTTCCATACATGTATAGATGACGTGGGCTATAGAAGTTTTCTGAATGTCAGCATGGCATGTTGAGTATACGAAATGAAATTTCAAAAGAGGGGATTGTGGCCTGTGTGGTCGACTAGCTGTAAGTGGTGACAAGCCCTTGGTCATTCACTCCTCAATGTTGCCACAAGTAAATTTGTTGTTGTTTGCTATTTCAACAAGTATTTGATATACTATCTTTCCCTTCTTGTATATCCTGTCGGGAGTGTTGGGTAGGAAGTGACCCCAAGTCACGGATAGACAGCGACATCATCCCGAACCTCGTGGTATCTCTTCATCATCCTCGTCAAGTTGAAGATGTCTCCACGCAAGATTTCCCCTCTCTACTCCGATTATATTACCTGGAGAAGCCTTTGATGCAATATCTAAGATGTTCCAGGTTCCTCGCTTCCGAAATCATCAACGTCCGCGCCAGTGCCAGCAACACTTCTCCGAGTTCACCCAAGTTCTCTTCATATTCATTCAAAATTCACAAAAAGCTTCTTGCATCCAGATCCAAGACACTCATGGAAAAGTATGAGTCAGAACCAAAGTACAACGTAGATGGTGATCTGACTTTGTCAGATTTCCCTGCGAAGGTGGTCGTCCGTTTTATCGAGTGGGCGTACACAGGGGATTATCCAGAGCACTACCGAGGCGCTTCGACCGGAGAAAAAAACGAGTTGTCAAGCAAAAGATCCCATAATGGAGCTATCAAATCGGAATGTGCAACACAATCAATGCCTTCCGCCATGCACTTGGATCTGTACCACTTCAGCAGCCTTTACTCTATTGGTGAACTGGGTGACCTTTCCCGCACCAAGCTCTGCTCATCCTTAGATGAGATGGGCAAGTCTGCCGAGGGGCAACAGCAAACTGTTTACATCTTGAAGAGAGCCTTCGAGAAACTTCCCAGCAATGATCCCATTTTGGACACTTTGGCACAGCTGGCAGCCTGTTGCATTGATAGCCTCCGAAACCTGCATGAGTTCCGCGACCTCTTGCAGAGAGAAACTCGGCTTTTTACTAAGGTCCTATGTGCAGTCCGCCCGGCCAAGCGCCTTTCTTGGGAAGGCGAATCCGATCTTTGAGTACGGAAGACTGATCATCAGCCGATGTTATGTCACCTGGTTGTGTTTGTTGCTCGACCGTTTGCTAGGTTTTATTCAAGAAATGCTTTCAAGTCCATTCTTCTGATAACTATGAATGATGATGTCAATTACCATTGACCTCCAGCAACTCAAACGTAGCTAATACAATTCAACCCAATGGCCGAGCCTACCTTGTACACAGAAAGAATCAACTAGATTCTCTCATATTAGTATCACATTTTTACGAGATGTAAGAAGTTCAGATGTAAGAGGTTCGATATGCTCCTGTGAGATAACCCCAACACATCAAGAATAGTAAGCATGGAAATCAACACGGCATTATCCTACGCTGAAACATGCTCCGCGCATAAACCAAAACATGGTATCTAACACGGTCATCTTGCAGTGTTTATATTTGAGAACGTTTTTCAAAAGGAAAGAAGAAAAATAGTTGCGATTCAACTTTCCTATGCCACCAGTCTAGGGAGAAGCAAAAGAATAGAGAAAAAAAAAAATTAAAAAGAAATGGGCCCGAACCGCGATTCGAACGCGGGACCTCTCGCATATTAAGACCAGTATATGGCCCGAGAGCAACCCGAAGCGAGAATCATACCTCTAGACCATCCGGGCGATGATGTAATGTTTTTATCTACTAAAGAAATATGTTGAGTATAAACTGCTTCTTAGGTCTCGCTTTATTCCACCATTAAGCGATATTCCAAACCCATAAGGCCTTCATTCATTTCATTTCTTTTCTTTTTTTTTGTTTTTCAAACGCGATCGTTCTTGATACTATTCAAGTCGATTCAGTAGTGACTACAGCTATATAAGAATTTTCATTGAAAATTCATTGCAATCAGAGAACTAAGAGCACGTATATTGGATTTCAACCTAGAGGCAGATGTGGTTTTGCTTTTGGTCTTGGGTGCAGTCTGACATGACTTCTCGCTCTCCGGATTATTCCCTTGAATGCTCCTATCACTTGTTGTTTTAAGTTTGTAGCTTGGCTACTCTGTACATGGCTACCCTGTACTGGTTATTGGATTGTGGACTTTTGCCTTCGTGATTTCGGATCCATCTGGCGTGTTCTAACGGTTAACACACCTCCACAATTATCTCCCCGCGCTACTCGGAGGATTTCGTCTCAGAGACATATGATTGTAACGGAGACTTTCCACAGAGACTAACACGAGTAGTCTGAGGATTTTGGGGTACAATCGAAGCGGCGGGGCGTTCACGCTGTTGGAAACCTGATGAAACAGTCACAAATGACGATAAGCTTGGTGGTTCTGAGAAGTACGGAAATGTCGAGGATGGTTGCAAATGATTGCAAGCATGGAGAGTCAGAGAGCAACTTGCTGAAATTCCCTTCAAGGTTGGCTAGTTTTGCTCAATTGGAGGTCTCACCCTCCGACAGGAAGCAAGTTCTTGTCAAAGTATTGGTACAGGGTGTTGGCGTTGGTTTAGGTGCATGATTTGATAGATGCCGGATTATATATAGTTAGCAACACCTCTTCAGATTGAGCAGCGATGGACACCAGCATAGGTACACCCTAATAAACAGCGCTGTGTCGACTTTCCTTCTTAGAACTTATCATCGCATAAATCGACTACAAAGACCTGTTGTATAAGTACAACAGGTGCTTGTGCAACGTACTCCAGATAACAGGTCAATTACTATCTATGCCTCAAGAAGAGTAGCATGTGTGATTGCTTTTGTTGTGAGTCATAAATCAAAAAATTCTATCATAAAAACCAATGGCGCCCGGATGGTCTAGAGGTATGATTCTCGCTTCGGGTTACTCTCGGGTCATCACAATGATCTAAATATGCGAGAGGTCCCGCGTTCGAATCGCGGTTCGGGCCCTTCTTTTTTGTACTTTTTTTTGCATCCATCACTACCACCATTTGTTTCTATAATAACTACTATTCTTTTTTTTTGTTTCAGAAACCACGTTGATAATACATATATATAATACACAGTATTTCAGATTTTTGAGTCCATGTTACTCTAATCTGTGCAGGATATGTAGATGCTTGGTTTCGTGAGTTACTTGTTGACCTTTCACTCCCTAATGTACCACGCCTGTTAACTCGCATTACACATATAAGCCTACAATGCAACGGCGCAAAGGTGCTCAAATCAACAGTAACCTGCAATGGACTCTGCGAGGGTCATTTAGCATTATGTATAAATCAATCCATCCAAATCAAGACGTCCATGATACTGTTGAGCACAAACTCCACCCTTGAATACATAAATCATATCGCCCCCTCACTACAACCCAAGAACTATAGACGGGATTTCACTGATGTGTGCAACTCGGAAGTTGGTGATGGCGATTCAAGCAAACGGGTCATCTGCGGGTCCCACAATGGCTCCGCAGATACTGTAGCCCTAATCCTCCTCCCAAAGTACTCAATCTCGACGCCCTCACCCACAGCCACCTCGCTAGGCAACCAGGCATAAGCAACAGGCCGACCTACCGTGTATCCAAACGCAGCAGTAGTAACATACCCCACCGCTCTGTCTCGATGGAAAACAGGCTCCTTACCCAGAACAACAGAACAACCATCATCAACAGTCAGACAGCCCAGCCGCCTCTCAGGCGCCCGCCCCGCGAGACGCGCAAGCGCAGCCTTCCCGACGAAATCATCCTTCTTGCCTAAATCAACGGCAAATCCAACACCAGCTTCGAAAGGGTTATGCTCGGTCGTCATATCGGCTCCATAGACACGGTATCCCTTCTCCAGCCGGAGGGAGTTGAAGGCGCTTCGACCAGCGGCGACGAGACCGTGCGGTTTCCCAGCTTTCCAAACGGAGTTCCAGAGCTGGTAGCCAAATTCGGCGGTCGTTTGAATCTCCCAGCCGGACTCGCCGACGTATGATTTTCGGAAGACGGTCACTGGGATGCTGTTGATTGTTGCCCTTTTGGCGCTCATGTAGGGGAGGCCGGTGTGGGAGAGATCATCTGTGGTGAGTGGGCGGATTATGTCGTGTGCGCGCGGCCCCCATAGTCCGATGCAGCAAGTGCTGCCAGTGATGTCTCGGACTTGGACCCATTGGGCGGGGGTTCGTTGGGCTTGGTAGCGGGCTTCTCGAGAGAGGTAGGCGAGGTCGGTGGCTGTGTTTGCTCCGATTTGGTAGAGGTAGTCCTGGAGGCGTGTGACGAAGATATTGCTGAGGACACTGCCGTGGATGTTTAGGAGGAGGGTGTAGATGGTGCTGCCTGGTTTCGCGGTGACGTCGGCTGTGGTCAGGCGTTGGAGGAGATGGACTGCGCCTGGCCCGGACACCTCGAACCGGTGGAAGGAGGTCATGTCGTACATAGCCACGGCGTTCCGTGTTTTCCACGCCTCGACTGCTGCAATGGGTGAGTAGTATCGCGCGGACCACGTATCACGGGGAACAGGCTTCCACTCGGGCGGAAGTGACCGGATTAGATCTGCGTTGGCTTCGTACCAGAATGGGCGTTCCCAGCCCCCGAGCTCTAAAAAGTAAGCTCCTAGTTCCTTCTGCCGAGCGTAGAACGGGCTGGTTCGTAGCTGTCGCGGTGATTCTTTTGGTTGCATCGGATGGAGAATATCGTAGATCTCGACGAAGTTCTGCTGTGAAGTTTCGTTGACGTAGGATCGGCTCAGTTGGACTTCTTCGAAACGGGATAGCTCGCACTCGGACATGTCAATTGTGGATTGGCCTGTGGTGAGCAGTTCTGCCAATGCTCGTGCCACACCAGCCGAATGAGTGACCCATACTGCTTCGGCAACGTAGAAGCCATCGAGATTGGGTGCCTGTCCGACAAGTGGCCCGCCATCCGGGGTAAACGAGAATATCCCGTTGAAACCATCGGCAAGTTGGCTACCCTGTAGAATGGGTAAGAGCTCTTGGGAGGCTTTCCAAGCGGGGTTAAAATCAGAGCGAGTGAAATTGAGACGTGATGGCATGTTATGTTCGTCCACATGCTTCGGAGTGAGACCCAGTGATGCCGCAGTAACTGGCATTGGCCGGTGTCCATAATAGCCGATCCCATACTGATCGCCATGTTCGCGGTAGTAGAGATCCTGGTCTTGATACCGCAGTATTGGAAACTCCGCATTCATCCCGTTTATCAGGGTGTTGATCTCCCGTCCAGCGAGAGAAGGCAAGGCAGTAGTTTTGGCGTACTGATGTGCGAGCGGAAGTAGAGGGATAGGGACACCGACCATGGCTCCCAACTCGACACCCCAGAAACCGGCGCAAGATATGACAATGTCGGCAGAGACGGTGCCGCTCGGGGTAGTCACGCCTGTGACACAATTACCCGCTCTCTCAATGCCGGTGACGGGGGTTAAGCCCATGTAACGAACGCCAGCCTTGCGAGTGCGTTCAATGAGGAGCTGTGTTGCGCGCGCTGCAAGTGCTAAACCGTCGCTCGGGATGTGTAGACCACCCAGTACCAAATCCTTATTGAGGTGTGGATATATCTTAATGCACTCCTCCCTGCTTACGAGGTGCGTCTCTACACCCCATGAAGAAGCCAAGCCGTGCTTGCGTTTGAGGTCATGAAGACGTTCATGCGTAGTCGCTACCTCAAGGCCTCCAACCTGGTTGAAGCAGCTCTGTCCATCCTTTTCTAACGACAGTAGCTTTTCGACGGTGTAGCGCGCAAGATGGGTCATGGTTTTGGTGCCCTGTGTTTGGAAAACGAGACCGGGCGCATGCGACGTTGATCCGCCTGGCATGTGCAGCGGTCCCTGTTCGATGACGGTGATGTCCTTCCATCCTCGCGAGACTAGCTCGTCAGCCAGGTTTGTGCCCACGATACCTGCTCCGATAATGACAATTCGTGTTGTTGGGGACATATTTGAGAAATAATTGAGTCGATACCCGACCGATCAATCAAGGGGACATGATACGATACATAATCCCGTTACCATGCTAGAGGCAATCATGGCTGATATAGCTTGAAATGTACCGATATGCAGAGAGACGGCAAGTTTCCGGACCGTCCATGACATTATAACCATAGTAGATGGATAAAGTATATGCGAGGGACATTTTTGCCCAGAACGGTATAACTGGTTCTAGACTGGAGAGCCCCTCCACACCTCGCTATCAAAGGTGGAGGGACGCACGTACACTTCCGCCGATTAGATAGGCTCTGGCCAATAGAAAGTGGAGTGAATAGATCTAACCGGCCCGTTCAAGGAATGTTTTACCCCATGGAGGTGAAGTGGTGGAACCATCATTAGTGAATGAACATGCCAGTGAGGAGGAGGAGAAAGAGGAGTCGATCAAGACGGCCCGTCGGTCCGCCTGATATCACGGACCGTATATCTGTCACCTGATTTGGTAGCCATGTCAGATAATTAAGATGTATATTGGATAGAATCTTTTTGTATTCATTTGATTAAGCTATTGAGCTGTGTAATTTGGATATCAACACCGCAGAGTGCTTCATATTCAAGGTTAACACCTATATCTTTACAGAGTTGATCAAACCCAGAAGAAAGTTAGCGATGTTCAAGCATTTGTGTTATCAGCAGGAAAAGTGAAGCCAGGGCCTCGATCAAGATTGGTCAATCTATGAGATAGTCAATACCTGGCTGTTTTTGCACTGCATTTCCCTCGCATTGACGCTCCGTCCAGCATGGAACAGCACTGTAAGTTAGTAAGACTTGATTCCTGTATCTGCACTCCCTTTACATAGAATTTTGATGTCAATTCTGTCAATTCACGCTGGGAAATTGAGTTCTACCTTCGTTGTCCACGATAGGGGACAGCTAGCTGCTTTTGATAGGAAGAACTTGATTGGAAATTAAGTGAGCCACCAGGTAGCTCTTGCTTGTGGCATGGGCTTCATTGACTTCTTACGAAAAAGAAAAAAAAATCAAAATCGACAATTTTAAAAAAGAAAAAATTGCAACCAATTTGTCCTGCAAGAAATCCCAAACAAGTCATCATTATCAGATCATGATGACACGTATAACGTCCTTTTACCTCCACACTCGCATGAGGAAGGATGTAAGTCAGCAGATACACCCCAGATTGTCCAACTGTTACAGAAAATATATTTCTCCGGTGGCTTAAACCAAGTCCCAGTCTCAATGCAGTCTTAAATGACCATCCCGATCACCAGCATCGTTCAAAGCATCGGTGATGCGTGATCCATCGCCTTCGTGCATGAAAGTGTCGTAAATAGCGGCCCCAACGAAGCAGCCCACGACTGGGGCTAGAACAGGAACAAGAAAATAATAATGGTCCGAGGTGAACACCTCCCTGCCATAGACGAAAGAAGAGAAGAGCCGGGGACCGAAATCTCGAGCCGGGTTGATGGCCTAAGCGTAACAGTGAGCATCCGCTACGGAATCAAATCGATAGCTGAATGAAACAAAGAAGAGAACCTACATATCCAGTCTGCCAACCAAGCGAAGCTCCGATCGCCAGAAGCAGCAGAAAGTTCGACAACTGAGGCGCAGGGAACCGATCCGCATTGGCGGGATCAGAGATGCTCAACAAACCAAACATCAGCACCGCCGACGCGAGCAGCTCCGAAAACACCGCCTCCCAGTTCGACTCGAAGATATCGGCTGGATAGGTGGAGAAGATACCCGCCGAGTGGTGTCCACTTGGGCTAAGGATCGACCCACCCGGGATGGTATACTCGGGGTCCCACGCCTTGATCGCCGACCGATAATTGATATACACGATCGCGGCGCCGACGAACCCGCCCAGGAACTGCGCGAATAGTTTGCCTGGCAGCTTTCTCCATTGTCCTGGGGAAGGACGCACGAAGGCCATGACGATTGAGATGGCGGGATTGATTGTGGGGCTGGGATCGCTGAGATAGCCCGAGAGACAGACTGCCGCTGCCCAGGCGAGGTTG